ATGTGGGAGAGGAAGGCTGTCGAGCCTGCGCCCACGACCAGCTACTCATCGCGCCGGATGGTCGCCCTGATTCTGGTGACCGGGTTGAGCCTCTTTAACTTCGGCTATAACTCTGCGAACATTGGAGGCGTGCTCTTATACCTCGATAGTTCTCAGACGGCCTGCTCCCAGAAGGCCATTTGCCTCAGCAGCCCTCTGATGAAGGGGGTTTTGGTCTCCTCCTGCTTAGTGGGTGCAGTTCTCGGTGCCTTGTTCGCTGGGACTCTGGCAGCCCAACAGGGGCCGAGGACCACCTTGCTGATGAACAATGTGTTTTTCATCGTTGGGTCCATCAGCAGCGCATTGGCGCCTGGGATCCTGTCCCTCATCCTCTCGAGATGCATTCTGGGTCTAGGTGTCGGCTCAGCCTCGGCAATCACGCACGTCTACATAGGTGAGGTCGTACCAGCTGAGCGCCGTGGGGAACATGGAGCACTGCTGGTGGTCCTGGGCACAGGTGGAATTCTCGTTGCCAACCTCGTGAGCTGGTGCATGGCGGAACACTGGCGGTGGGTCTTCGCTTTCGGGGCCGTGCCAGCCATGCTACAGCTCCTCTGGGGCTCGGTGATTATGCCAGAGTCGCCACATTGGAAGGCCCGGCTTCAGCCGGGTAGATGTTTGTGCAGGAAGTGCCAAGATGCTGACAGTCCCGAGTGCATCGCAAACTCTGAAGCCCCCTGCTTTATGGAGTCCAGTGGTGCTTGGTTCAATCTGTTGAAGTCGGTTCGCACAGGACGGGCAGTCCCTCCCCTCATTATTGGAGGTGGCCTGCATGTGTTGGCTCAGGCAACTGGTATCAACGTTGTCATCTATTACGGCCCCAAGATGCTTACACTTGTAGGCTTTGCAAGCTCCACGGCTGTCTTCGTCAGCACAACCATCAGCCTCTTTCAGATGGGCTCCACTATACTCCTCGCGCGCCTGGTGGACCGACTTGGCCGAAAGCCCATGAGCTTCATCGGCCTGAGCTGCATGCTTGTCAGCCTCTGCGGCATCGCCTTCAGCTACCTTCTACCCCCAAGTCATCGTGCTGCGAGTTGGCTGGCACTCATCTCATGTTTCGCATTCCGCGTGGCCTTCTCCGTTTCCTTGGGGCCTTTGCCTTACATCATCGCGGCGGAGGTCTTCCCTGAAGACATCCGAGCTCCAGGTGTATCCCTGTGCTTGGCGGTGAAGTGGGTGGCCAACTTTGTAGTCTCCTTGACCTGGCTGCCGCTCGCTGAGGCGCAAATCTAAGGGCGACGGCTGCTAGCTAATTATGTATGTCATCAGAATCATATGGCCTATAGCTATGTATTATGGTAGATTTTGTTGCTCTGTGCACATGGATGTAGATGATGTATGAGCTGTTATGTGTGTAAAACGCTATATAGTATGTACCTTATATACTTGAAACTGCATGAGGCCCCTTTCTGCAAGTTCTACAGTTCTTAAGTTTCTGCGTAGGCCAGCGGATAAGCCCGAACGCCTTTTTTGGCTGACAGGCGGTGAGCTTAGCCGGCACGTTCGCTCTTTACGGCCTTATGTGTGCCCTGGCCATCTGCTTCTTGGCTACATATGTCCCTGAGACCTCGGGGAAGACTCTGGGGCAGGCATCTCGAATTGCGATGACGAAGATGGAGGATGGCGCAAGCTTTGGCGCACACGGCGCAAGACAAGTGTACCGCAGCTGTGGATGACACGTGGATGCACATCGCAGAAAACGGCGCTTGCGCATCTACTGTGGGCATCTGTAGATTATGGCCCTTTTTTGGTTTCCCTTAGTAGTAGTATGTGTCTGCGCAGTTTTCTAGGATCCCCAAAAGAACCATCATTCGGAGAAGCCGCCTTGTGTCATTGCTCTGATTCCTCAAGAAAGTGTCGGGCCCTACACCCTGAACCCGATAACCCTAAACCCTAAACTCTACACCCCAAGCACTAGACCCGATAACCCTAAACCCTAAACCCTAAACCCTAAACCCTAAACCCTAAACCCTAAACCCTAAACCCTAAACCCTGCACCCCAGGGCGCTCTCATCCCTAAAGCCCAATCTGTGAAGTACAGGTCTGAAGCCAGATCCGGCCACTTTCTCCTCGCTGCCGGGCCGGCTGAGTTTTTCGGGCTTCCGGGTTTAGGGTTTAGGGTTTAAGGGTTTCGGGTTTAGAGTTTAGGGTTTAGGGTTTTCGGGTTTTCGGGTTTAGGGTCAAGGCTTGGCCCTTGATGGGGTCAGAAGCTTCGTGTTTAAGCTCGAGATTTGAAGGGTTTAGGGATGTGGAGGGGCCCCACTGCCTTTCTCTTACGTTCCTACACGAGTCAGGGTGAATTTCGCTCCCCCCCCCCCTGCCTAAATCCGAAATCAGGGCACATCGAAGAAGGGGCGGGGAGGGGCGCTAGGAGTGTTGCTGGGTTTGTCCCGCGTGCGAAGCCGTGGCATGAGATTCGAGATGTACAGTTTGGGTACCGGGTTTGGGTTCAACTCCTCGAATCTGAGAGAGGTTTAGGGGTTGAGGATTTAGGGTTTAGGGTTTGCTCTCAAGACCCTAAATTCATAAGGTTGAGGGCTCGAGGGCTTAGAGCTCTAGGGCATCAGGGTTTTTTGAAGCCTGGACATCCCAAAGCCCTCAAGCCTGGAAATCCCAAACCCTAAGCTCAGCCGGGAACCCTTAACCCGAAGCCCGAAGCCCAAAACCCTAAACCCGAAACCCTAAACCCTAACAGGCCCTAAGCTAAGCAGCGTTCTGGGCTGCGGCAAGCCTTACTGTTGCTTTGTAGGAATGGGGGGATGAGGTACCCTCTATAATCCCTTAAAGGGTATACATGGCTTTCTGTATATGGAAGGGGATATAGGGTACCTCATTCCTGATTAACCAACAGTAAGGAGCCCTCGCCAGGATCAAGTCCTGCGTGCAGCGCGGCGCCAGACACCCAGACATCAGCGCAACCGCCTAGCCGGGAGGCTCTGGGTGCAGGAAACCCTCAACCCTAAACCCTAAACCCTAAACCCTAAACCCGAAACCCGAGGCCCTGACTCCTTAGTGAATCCTAAACCCTCTCCTAAACCCTGAACCCTACATGAGGCCCCCCTCAATCTCTTCTTACGTATCTGCTGTGCAGACACCCCAACCCTGAACCCTGTTAGGAGATTCAGGTCACTTCTAACCACATCAGGGTTTGGGGTTTAGGGTTTAGGGCGAAGGCCTAACTGTTAACTGTGCTTCTAACCCAATTAGAACCCTATTAGGGTACTTAAGGGGCTTATCTATGGGTTATATCTACACTTGTAATGGGTTACAAAGTACGCTGAACCTCCAAGTAACCCCTCCAAAACTCAGGACTACCTCGCGGCCGAGCGGTGGTTCCGCGAGGCCTCGGCTGGCCAGCGCCCCCAAAGTGGGGCTTCATGGAAATGTAACCGTGAACCTCCACGTGGGGTTTCTGTGGGGTTTAGGGTTTGGGGTTCCTGACTTCGGGTATGGGGTTTGGGATTTCGGGTTCGGGGTTTGAAGCCTAAGGTTTGGCGCATTCGATATCTCATTCCACCCCACACCTTCGGGCTTAGGATTCAAGGGTTCAGGGTTTAGGGCTTAGGGTTTAGGGCTTAGGGCTTAGGGTTTGGGGCTTTCTGGTTCAGGGGTTTAGGGGTTTCTGGTTTAGGGGTTTAGGGGTTTAGGGGTTTAGGGGTTTAGGGGTTTAGGGGTTTAGGGGTTTAGGGGTTTAGGAGGGCTCCATCGAGTTACGGGTTTAGGGCCTTAAGGGGTGTTCGTTTAGGCGTAGGGGTGGCCTCTCCATCTTAACAGCCTGCCGTGACTCCTTTTGGGGTTTAGGGTTTGGGGTTTAGGTTTAGGGTTTAGGGTTCAGGGTTTAGGGTTTGGCGTTTAAGGTATAGGGTTTAGGGCTTAGGAGAACAGATCATGCCTAAGACCCAGGCCCCGCCAGAAGGCTCGAATGCAGTTCCTGTTTGGGCTAGCTATAGGGGGATTCTGGTAGTATACCACCCCAAAAAGGTACTGCACAGCAGCCTTAGGTTTAATGCAGTTCCTTTTTGGGTAAGTGATACGCATAGGGGGTTCTAGTGGTATACCACCCCAACGAGGTAGTACCCAGGAGCCCTTGGGTAAACCTATGGCCCGAGCCGTCTCCTCCGGCCTCCTGCTCTTCAATGCTGCGGGGACGCGAGCTGCAACAGAAGAAGCCCCGCAGCCGGCATCGGCGTCCCTGCTGCCGAAAAGCGGCGGCCCTAAGCCCAAAGCCCTAAACCCGAAGCCCTGAACCCAGAACCCTGAACCCTTAACCCCGACTACCCCAATTGCCCCAATTACCTTAATTACCTTAATTTCCCCAATTACCCCAATTCCACCAATTTCCAAAGCCCGATTAAAACAGAACCTCCACAAATGCTCATACTACTTCGCCCCCACCAGGAAGACCCTGAATTGAGAGGCCGAAGCAGAAGGCAGAGAACCGGGGGCCTGGGGCTTAGCGCCCGCAGCACCAGGTTTAGGGTTTCGGGCTTAGGGCTTAGGGCTTAGGGTTTTGGGTTTAGGGTTTAGGGTTTAGGGTTTAGGGCTTAGGGTTTTGGGTTTAGGGTTTAGGGTTTAGGGTTTTGGGTTTAGGGTTTAGGGTTTAGGGGTCGGGACGTAAAGCCCAAATCGTAAACCCCAATCGAGGGCTTCGACTTCAATCTTCCACCAGGGCACCAGGGCTGCTTGGGGCACACCTTCTCAGCCCTGAACGTGGTGCAGCCTTTCGTGTGTAGGAGTCTATTAGGAGGGCAGAGCAAATGCAAGGCCTCGAGCCACAAAGGCCGCCCTTCAGGGTTTAGGGTTTAGGGTTTAGGGTCTAGGGTGATTTCTGTGAAGGCGCGAAGTTCCTAGATGTCGCTCAACCCCAAACCCTAAACCCCAAACCCTAAACCCTAAACCCCGAACCCGACGCCCCAAACCCTAAACCCTGAACCCTGAACCCTAAACCTTGAATCCTACCGCTCCATGGCCTGCCAGAGTTTATAGGGCTGTCGATTGTTTGCTTTAAAAGGGGATTAGGGTTTAGGATTTAGGGTTTAGGGTTCAGGGTTTAGGGTTTAGTAGGGCTCCGGATAGCTCTAATATCTTAAGGACCCTAAGCCCCGAACCCCTACTTGTAACAGCCTAAACGCCCCAAACCCTCTTGGCCCTACAAGCTCGGTTAGCCTTGTAGGCCCTGACTCTTGAGCCCGATTAGTTCTACAAGCCCCAAACGACCTAAACCCTAAGCCCTTATGCTCAACCCCTAAACGCTCCTACCCCTGAACCCCTAGACCCCTAGCTCTAAGCCCTAAACCCTAAACCCTAGACCCTAAACCCTAAACCCTAAACCCTAAACCCTAAACCGTAAACCCTGAACCCTAAACCCTAAACCCTAAACCCTCAGCCTAACTCCGCTGAGATCGGCCGCCTCTCCTCCATCCTGCGGTGTGCCGCCTTCAAGGACCTGACCTTCGCCGAGAAGCTGCCGGAAAACTCGGGGGATGGGGGGTTGAGGGTTTAAGGGTTTAGGGTTTGGGTTTAAGGGTTTAGGGTTTAGGGTTTAAGGGTTAAGGGTTTAGGGTTTGGGGTTTAGGGTTTAAGGTTTAGGGTTTGTAGAGTTTCGGGTCTGTAGGGTTTGGGATTTGGGGTTTGTAGGGTTTCGGGTTTCGTGTTCATTAGGCCAGGGTTTGTGGTTTGGGTTGATGGTTTGAGACTTGTGGGGTTTACTAAACCCCTGAACCCCTAAATATAGGGATACAAGCCCCAAACCCCTAAACCCGAAACACACAACCCGAAACCCTTAACCCTAAACCCTAAACCCCAACCCCTAAACCCTAAACCCTAAACCCTAAACCCTAAACCCTAAACCCTAAACCCTAAACCCTAAACCCCAACCCCCAACCCCAAAACCCTAAACCCTAAACCCTAAACCCTAAACCCCTAACGGTTCCCAGGCTGGCGAGCACGGTGCGGCGAGGGATGCTGCCCGATGCGCTGAAGCCCAGCCGAGTCCAGGTTTAGGGTTTAGGGTTTAGGGTTTAGGGTTTAGGGTTTAGGGTTTAGGGTTTAGGGAGTCCAGTTGAAGGGCTTTGGAGGGTTTAATCAGGGGTTTTAGGGTTCAGGGGTTTTGGGGGCTTCGGGGTTTTAGGGTTTAGGGGTTTTAGGGTTGAGGGTTTAGGGTTTAGGCTTGCGGGATGATTCAGGGGATAGGGTTTAGGGGTTTCTAAGCCTTCAGCCCCTACACAGTTGCATGTTGGTGATCCTACCTCATGTATGGGCCCTGTGGGGATCGCAGACCTGAACGCCCGAACGCCCCCTGAAATCGCGCCGATGTTTTTTTTCCAGCTTGCTTTTGGGGCCTGCTTTTTGCAGGGTCCTTCAGGGAGGTGGGTTCATGGGGGGGGTATGTATCTAGGGAACCTGAGTGAAGCTTCTGGAGCCTTAGGGAGTAGTGGGGAGTACCTTAAGAACCCTCTAAATATTCGGACATGCAGTCGAGTCTGTAGCGTCTATGCGCCGGTCCCCAGTTTGCGCCAAGCATCGAGCTCACGGCTGTTCCACCTGCATGTGTTTTTGGGGTAACCCGAAACCCTACACCCTCGAACAGAAGTCTGCGGCTTGTTCGTTTCTTTTGGGGCTCCTATTCACACTGGGAAGTGTCGCTGTATCTCGCATTGCAACACGCATCAAGGAG